TGAAAGATGCAAGGATGGGGGTGGGTGGAAGGGGGGGGGGGGATAGATTAATACAGACGTTGCAGTGAAAAGTGATCAGGGGGTCATCCGACACTCTACACTTTACACTCTACACTTTACATTGAACACTCTACACTCTACACTTTACATTAAACACTCTACACTTTACACTCTACACTTTACATTGAACACTCTACACTTTACACTCAACACTCTACAATTTACATTGAACACTCTACACTCTACACTTTACATTGAACACTCTACACTCTACACTTTACATTGAACACTCTACACTTTACATTGAACACTCTACACTTTACATTGAACACTCTACACTTTACATTGAACACTCTACACTTTACATTGAACACTCTACACTTTACATTGAACACTCTACACTTTACATTGAACACTCTACACTCTACACTTTACATTCAACACTCTACACTTTACATTCTCAACACTCTACACTTTACATTCTACACTCTACACTTTACATTCAACACTCTACACTTTACATTCTACACTCTACACTCTACACTTTACATTCAACACTCTACACTTTACATTCAACACTCTACACTCTACACTCTACACTCTACACTTTACACTCTACACTCTACACTTTACATTGAACACTCTACACTTTACATTGAACACTCTACACTCAATACTCTACACTTTACATTGAACACTCTACACTCTACACTTTACATTGAACACTCAACACTCTACACTTTACATTGAACACTCTACACTTTACATTGAACACTCTACACTTTACACTCAACACTCTACACTTTACATTACACTCTACACTCTACATTCAACACTCTACACTTTACATTCAAGACTCTACACTGAACACTCTACACTCTACATTGAACACTCTACACTCTACACTTTACACTCAACACTCTACACTTTACATTGAACACTCTACACTCAACACTCTACACTTTACATTGAACACTCTACACTCTACACTTTACACTCAACACTCTACACTTTACATTGAAGACTCTACACTCAACACTCTACACTTTACACTCTACACTTTACACTCATGTGAGTTAACGAACGAACAAACTTTTTTTTTCCCCAAAGGGTTATGAATTGGTCACGCAGGCCTGTCTAAACATCCTATACTTTCAGTCCACCCACTTCCTACATTCAGTTTATTCATTTGTACATCATTTCATAGTTACTAATAAACAAATGTTCGCGACATCTAAGTCTTAATTACAAGCAATGAAATGTGCTCTAATTATACTTACATTACTGAGCGTTTTAAATCGATAGTGATAAACCTAATCTAAAAATGTTTTCAGTCTAAACGGTTGACTAGTATAAACATCATCGACAACAACTAAATATTAGATGCAAACGCCAGAATGCGTTCCAACGGCACCTTTATTTTGGAACTATAAAAACTTTCAGTTCGAAAATTAAAAAAAAAAAAAAAAACATTAAATGGAAATTATTATATGTTATTGAGTACAAAGATTTAGATATCCAAATTGCTCACTTGTTAATGTCTGAAATTACTGTTGATTCAAGAAACAAATATATTCACACCCATGATCATTGCCCTCTGTATGCCCTTCGATAAGAGCTGTTTTCCTGATTAAACAACTCGTCTGTGTGTTCATGTCTATCGTCTTCGATACACTTCCGCAACTCGGGCTGGCAAGTTAGTGTTATATGTTGCCTGCAACTTACAATTTCTTTGCGGTTCATTCGGGGTTACAATTATAATAGACAGCATACCTTCAGATACTAAAAACAGACAGCAGAAATAGCAAAGTTGAGAACAGTAGCATATTTTCAGATTCTAGAAGCAGACAGCAGTCTCTCTTTTACTACATTAGTAAATCTATTTTTCATAGCATACAGATAATAACAAGATGTAAACATCCTTACCGGTATGCGCTGTCATCCATGAACCGTTTCCTGTCCATTCGAGTTCTGTTGGTCAAACAAGAATTGAAAGTGGCCAGACTTTCAGCCCAGGTATGCAGGTTTCCAGTCCCAAATAAGGCAAGACCTCCTCCACCTGAGTGTCATTATGATTCTTCATAATTATAGAGCCTAAGGTGCAACTGAATTATTTAAGGAAGATTCATGAAAAAAACTGTTAAATCCTGCATGAGCTTGTGAAGCGACAGAAATCAAGAAGCCATTGCCCCGGCAACTATTGGAGACTGCAACTTGGAAAATCATTATAACCTAACCGAACTGTATTGGAAGTCAGAGAGATCAGATATACAAGTCAAACACTGTTTTCCGCAGTCTATGTGCTAGTTAGGGAGCCGCCGTGATGTAGCGGCTAGTCTCTGCTTGGTGCCGGATTCCTCTCCTCTAGCCAGGTACTTCAGCTAACGCACAGGTGTAGTGGCAGTAACAAACTTTTCGTCACCATTATTATCATCAAATGTCTTGCGGGCCAGATAGGGGATGATACCTCAACACATCCAAGATCTTCTTCAACATAGCCTAACCCATTATCACCAGCGGGAAAACAAAAAAGCGGAAAGAATCTTCTCTGGTCGTCTTAGTATATCTCTCTTGTCCAAACCTTATATCACCCATCCCACGTATATTTTTAGTTGTCACATATTCAATTTCTCTTCTTCCTAAAATGCTGATAAAAATGGTGACTATCTCTTTTTGATCTCTGCCACGAGTTGTCTTCTGATATTCGCCTTTTTCAGACTCAAACAGCAGTTATTTAAACTTAACGAATTATCATAATTTTTATTTGTGACGTATCTTTCCCCCTCCTCATACGCAGCGAATCAGTTAAATCGTGAGGAGCAAACAGACAGCCACCAAAAACAGAATTGACACCATATTGACTCCTTATATCAAACTTGCACACACGTATGGTCTGAAAATAAACACAGCGAAAACTGAGGAATAGTCAGGAAATATAATAACATGAAAGTTCATGTTGATAGTAGTACAGTCAAACAATTACGATAATATCTAGAAAGCATTGTTACCAAGGATGGCAGAATTGACAGAGATATAGAAGCCAGAGTAAAGAAGGCAAATACTGACACCTGCCAGCTACCTTTCAGCAAAACAGCAAAAGATAAATAGCATATTCGTCCCAACTTTATGTTATCAGTGCCAATTATGGAAATAAGAATAAGGCACTAGAACAGAAAATAACTACATGTTGAATGGGCCGTCTCCGCAAAGTCACTAAGAACACTATGAGAGACACCGTTTAAATAATACCATGTCTCTATTACACTGACTGGCACAAAATGAAATGGTTCGGTTATCTATGATGAAACAGCCAGACCAAACTTAATAATGGATAAGATATTTTTTTTAAACTGCAGAACCAAGAAGGGAAGACCAAGAAAGAGATGGGCGAATGGTGTGGATGAAAACTGAAATACATATAAACAGATGCATCACCCGAGCCACCCGAGAAGCGCAAAACAAATACAGAAAACCACGAGACTGGGCTAAGAGTCGCCGTGGCCGAGCGGCTAGACGCTCGCCGCGGATCGGAAGGTTGTGGGTTCGCTCACTGGCGGAGCCGGACTTTTCTTCAAAAAATGACCTTGGCTCCCAGGTTGACCCAGCTTTAAGTTGGTACCGAGTGCAGTCCCAGGAAGTAAAGGCGACCGGCGGGATGCTAACCACATCAACTATTTTGTACCGATTGTTCTATACAAAATATAGGTCTTGCCCTATATGCCTAAAGGCGTGGAAAATGGTCCTTTACTACTTTTTTTTTTAACGACACTGGGCTACGACCTTGTATCGGTGAGAAAACACAATAAAAATAAAAATAGCACACTGACTGGCTAGTGCTCTAGTCCTCTAGCTTGCTGTCTGTTCATTCAACCATCTTCTCTCTTACGAGTTCATACATTCTATGGAGTGCAAGAACGCGGGGTTGGTATCGCTGCTGCAAACTTTCAGATCCTCGGGGAAATTCTATTTTGATATTCTTGTTTAGTCCAGTTTCGATTTTCACTACAAAGGGCCCCAGTAGGAGATTTTACCGCCCCAGTTTTAGTTGACTGGCAGCATGTGGAACCTTCCAGACTGAGCATGATGCAATCGGTTCTATTATCGGTCTCTAGCTGCCGTTCGCAGCTTTTTCTTAGGGCTTCTCCGTGTTCGGACAATCAAGTCTGTAGTACTTGTAGTCTTGTTATATGTACTGGTATACTTGTCTGTAGTACTTGTAGTATTGTTATATGTACTGGTATACTTGTCTGTAGTACTTGTAGTCATGTTATATGTACTGGTATACTTGTCTGTAGTACTTGTAGTCATGTTATATGCACTGGTATACTTGTCTGTAGTACTTGTAGTCATGTTATATGCACTGGTATACTTGTCTGTAGTACTTGTAGTCATGTTATATGCACTGGTATACTTGTCTGTAGTACTTGTAGTCATGTTATATGTACTGGTATACTCGTCTGTAGTACTTGTAGTATTGTTATATGCACTGGTATACTTGTCTGTAGTACTTGTAGTCATGTTATATGTACTGGTATACTTGTCTGTAGTACTTGTAGTCATGTTATATGTACTTGTATACTTGTCTGTAGTACTTGTAGTCTTGTTATATGTACTGGTATACATGTCTGTAGTACTTGTAGTCTTGTTATATGTACTGGTATACTTGTCTGTAGTACTTGTAGTATTGTTATATGTACTGGTATACTTGTCTGTAGTACTTGTAGTATTGTTATATGTACTGGTATACTTGTCTGTAGTACTTGTAGTCTTGTTATATGCACTGGTATACTTGTCTGTAGTACTTGTAGTCTTGTTATATGTACTGGTATACTTGTCTGTAGTACTTGTAGTATTGTTATATGTACTGGTATACTTGTCTGTAGTACTTGTAGTATTGTTATATGTACTGGTATACTTGTCTGTAGTACTTGTAGTATTGTTATATGTACTGGTATACTTGTCTGTAGTACTTGTAGTATTGTTATATGTACTGGTATACTTGTCTGTAGTACTTGTAGTATTGTTATAAGCACTGGTATACTTGTCTGTAGTACTTGTAGTATTGTTATATGCACTGGTATACTTGTCTGTAGTACTTGTAGTCTTGTTATATGCACTCGTATACTTGTCTTTAGTACTTGTAGTATTGTTATATGCACTGGTATACTTGTCTGTAGTACTTGTAGTATTGTTATATGTACTGGTATACTTGTCTGTAGTACTTGTAGTCATGTTATATGTACTGGTATACTTGTCTGTAGTACTTGTAGTCATGTTATATGCACTTGTATACTTGTCTGTAGTACTTGTAGTCATGTTATGTGCACTGGTATACTTGTCTGTAGTACTTGTAGTCTTGTTATATGCACTGGTATACTTGTCTGTAGTACTTGTAGTCTTGTTATATGCACTGGTATACTTGTCTGTAGTACTTGTAGTATTGTTATAAGCACTGGTATACTTGTCTGTAGTACTTGTAGTATTGTTATATGCACTGGTATACTTGTCTGTAGTACTTGTAGTATTGTTATATGCACTGGTATACTTGTCTGTAGTACTTGTAGTATTGTTATATGCACTGGTATACTTGTCTGTAGTACTTGTAGTCATGTTATATGCACTGGTATACTTGTCTGTAGTACTTTTAGTCATGTTATATGCACTGGTATACTTGTCTGTAGTACTTGTAGTCATGTTATATGCACTGGTATACTTGTCTGTAGTACTTGTAGTCATGTTATATGTACTGGTATACTTCTCTGTAGTACTTGTAGTCATGTTATATGCACTGGTATACTTGTCTGTAGTACTTGTAGTCATGTTATATGCACTGGTATACTTGTCTGTAGTACTTGTAGTATTGTTATATGCACTGGTATACTTGTCTGTAGTACTTGTAGTCTTGTTATATGTACTGGTATACTTGTCTGTAGTACTTGTAGTCATGTTATATGCACTGGTATACTTGTCTGTAGTACTTGTAGTATTGTTATATGCACTGGTATACTTGTCTGTAGTACTTGTAGTCTTGTTATATGTACTGGTATACTTGTCTGTAGTACTTGTAGTCATGTTATATGTACTGGTATACTTGTCTGTAGTACTTGTAGTCATGTTATATGCACTGGTATACTTGTCTGTAGTACTTGTAGTATTGTTATATGCTCTGGTATACTTGTCTGTAGTACTTGTAGTCATGTTATATGCTCTGGTATACTTGTCTGTAGTACTTGTAGTCATGTTATATGCACTGGTATACTTGTCTGTAGTACTTGTAGTATTGTTATATGCACTGGTATACTTGTCTGTAGTACTTGTAGTCATGTTATATGTACTTGTATACTTGTCTGTAGTACTTGTAGTATTGTTATATGTACTGGTATACTTGTCTGTAGTACTTGTAGTCATGTTATATGCACTGGTATACTTGTCTGTAGTACTTGTAGTCATGTTATATGCACTGGTATACTTGTCTGTAGTACTTGTAGTATTGTTATATGCACTGGTATAACTTGTCTGTAGTACTTGTAGTATTGTTATATGCACTGGTATACTTGTCTGTAGTACTTGTAGTCATGTTATATGCACTGGTATACTTGTCTGTAGTACTTGTAGTCATGTTATATGCACTTTTATACTTGTCTGTAGTACTTGTAGTATTGTTATATGCACTGGTATTCTTGTCTGTAGTACTTGTAGTATTGTTATATGCACTGGCATACTTGTCTGTAGTACTTGTAGTATTGTTATATGCACTGGTATACTTGTCTGTAGTACTTGTAGTCATGTTATATGCACTGGTATACTTGTCTGTAGTACTTGTAGTCATGTTATATGCACTGGTATACTTGTCTGTAGTACTTGTAGTATTGTTATATGCACTGGTATACTTGTCTGTAGTACTTGTAGTCTTGTTATATGCACTGGTATACTTGTCTGTAGTACTTGTAGTCATGTTATATGCACTGGTATACTTGTCTGTAGTACTTGTAGTCATGTTATATGCACTGGTATACTTGTCTGTAGTACTTGTAGTCATGTTATATGCACTGGTATACT